GTGCACTAGCTTCTTGTATGCAGCGGCACTTAATTCACACGAACGAATATGCTAAGTACGTAAATTGATTCGAAATCCACGCACAATCGAAACCGCTTTATTCCAGGGAGCACAGAATTTTCTACAACGTTATGATCGCACGGTACAAACGTCGTTCGTCGATGCACTCGTTCGGTAGGCCCGTAAGCACTAACTGCGTATGTGACGATCTGCCCGATTTCTGCTCCCTGTTACAGGAAGCATTTCTAGGAAAAATCCTAGGCGTGTGAGTGACCCTCAATTATGTACTTGGGCCTAGTCAACCTCACGGACCAAAACATTGCGCGAGGTTCGCGATGTTTTTTGCTTGTGAAACATAAGAAACTCGAGCAAAACACAAGAAATTCGAGCCAGAGTCGTTGTCTGTATTATATCCAACTAAACACGAAGCTACGTGCCATTTTGAAAGTAAAACTATCGCGAGAGAGAGCGATTGCTCTCGAGAGTATTTCTCGCGAGTGGACACTGCCCCTGAGCTTGACTGTCCGAGAGCATAGCTCAACTATTTGAGAGTAAACGTGTCGAGACTTGCTCTCGAATGTAGACGTAATCGTACTACTGTCGAACAGTTGCTTTCCAAAGACGAAGTAGTTTCGTATTCTTGAGAGAACTCTCGTCGAGTAAAAAATGTCAGGAAAAAAAGATTGATCGAGAAATGAGACGCTTCTCATTTGATTTTTCTCCCAAGCTGAGCTGTTTGTTGTGTACTTGAATTCGGTGCACTAGCTGCTTGTATGCAGCGGCACTTAATTCACACGAGCGAATATGCTAAGTACGTAAATTGATTGGAAATCCGCGTATAATCGAAAACGCGTTGTTCGATGTATTCCCTACAAGACTATAATCGCGCAGTATAAGCGACGTTCGTCGAGGCACTCGTTCGACAGCCACGTAAACACTGACGGAGGACGAGTCGTCCTGGCCGATTTCTGATCGCTGTACGCTCGCGACTGTTCTGGGAAAAATTCTAAGCCTTAACTTCTTAGAACTCGTGATATTTCTTGCGAGCCTGGGTCGCTGTACGTACATCGAGCCAAACATAAACACAGCTGTCCTTTTCAAAGTAAAACTATCGCGAGTTGCTCTCGAGAGTATCTCTCGCGAGTGGACACTGCGTCTGAGAGTGACTGTCTGAAAGCATCGCTCAACTCTTTGAGAGTTACGACTCGAATAAACAATTGCTTTGCAAACACAGTTAAGAAATGCAAATTCTGTTAGAGTCTTACTTTTTTATTGTACCCCTGTCATGACGATTATTTTATTATATTTACGATAGTTTATTCTGACTTTTATCACTTCGAAAATAAATAATTATTGGTTTCTGATTGCTTAGAATATAAGCATTGTGTCATCAAAGAATTCCTTATTTCGATTAATTTGTCATTAATTAGTTTTCATAATTTTTGGTTTTTATTAAACACTAATGTACAACAATCTTTGTAAATAATACTCAATATGAGTTTCTAAGTGGTTAATTTACGAAGAGACCATCATCCGAAGAAAACGAGACGGAATATAAGTTATAAGTATGGTCATACTCTTACCTCGAACCGCATTTCTCATAACTTTCCCATCATTTCTGGGAAAAATGACAATTACATTTTTCGTTCCTTAGGATGCGTAGAATCATGCTGTAAAAAAATTTTTCGTTCCGGCCGTATGCCAAAATTGGCCTTTTTTTTAACATCCTCCTTTATAGTAGGTATAAAGAAATTGTTAATATGAAAATTCAATGGGTTTTTATGCTTTATAAAATTGACAAATTGTTAAAAGTTTGTTGTTCAAATAAAATAAAGTATTCCCCGTTGTTTTTATCTTTGAAAATTTTAATCTTGTCAGGACAAAAAATATGCAGGACTTCGTTATAAATACTTATATGTGTATATCTGATAATACAGTACTTCAATAATTTTAACTGATGAGTTCATCCTGGACGCTCGCTGTTACACTTCGAACGATGCGTTATCAAGTATTTATAAATACTTGCGTATATTTCAATCGAGCAATATAAAGTATGTTTTCACCCTGAAGAATCAAAAAGTAGATGAAAAAGAGAAAAATTGCCTGATATTTCTATTGAGATCTCCTGCAAACCTGCAAAATTAATAAAAATAATTAAAACTTTCGGGTAATTGAATTATCCTTGTGAGATACGTTATCTGCCTCTGTCCACAAAGTGATTTTCGTTTTATGCGGTCTCGGTTGTGAATGGAAGGAAGCTCTAATATTCAACCGCTGATTAAATTCAACTCGTTAATTTGTTCGAAAATATTTCCAATAACGTTCCTTCTATCTAAGTCGTACAAACAAAGTGCAGATTTTCTGTACATCTTAGGAATATTAGTAAATCACAAAAAGGTGTATAATATTTGAGTATAAGAAATAAATAACAATCCACGTAAATACTTATTTAAAATTATTTACAACAATGTTCAAAAAAGACGGCGTTCGAAATAACTGTGAACTAAAAATGAATTTTTCTTGATTTTTCAAAACTTCAACATTATTTAATTATTCCTTTCGCTATATTTCCACAATTAATTTATCCTAATATCAATTTTTACATGTTAATTAATTTTTGGTATTGTACATACGTATAATACCGTCATAATTCGGAATGTTTTTAATCAATAATACAATGAAATGATTGAAATCTAAGAAAATTATCATCTATTAAATGCTCATATTTGTAAAACAACGAAAAACGCAGCAATTGGAAGTTTTTTATGTAATTTTTACACTTTAGGAATTGACTGTTCAATTGGACACAAGAATATAATATCGAAATTTCTCGATTCGTGCCCAGGATTGCTAGATAACCAGGACAAATCTTATTGTTGTTTGGATTTCGAAACAAATGAAATGTATTGTTGTAACCGCATGGAATTCGCTCTGAAATCAACAGGGTAAAAAAATTGACATTATTATTTTTATGTTATTCTTCCATCCACACATTGTAGCTTTTGGATATAAATTACACAATAGTATTGAACTACTTAAACCTAGTCCTTAACCTACTGTACAAAGATTGCTTTGGTTCCTTATTGGACCTTTTTCTCGCGCTAATTTCTCAAATACTCTAGTACCTGTACATAGCTCTTTCACTAGACTACCTGTAAATATACTGTTCACTTCTTCCCAGTTATCGTTTCTCACTACATTCTTTATCCAACTTTCTATTTCTACCCTCACCTCTCCACACATTCCCTAACAGTTCCACATATGTCGTAAATTTTCTTCTTCCTAGCCACAAACTCTGCATCTTCCATCCCCTTCATCTCCATACTTTGTTGCCTTTACGTTTCCACACCTAAGGCTTGCCCATTGCTCTTTAATTGCTCCTTATATGCCATTTTCTCTCCAATACTTCTCCATGTCTACTTCTTTCTTCCTATTCTTGTGTTCCAATCCTCCTGAACATCCTGCTCGATTCTTACACTCGCTCCTTTCTTCAGCCTGCTCTCAAGGACTTCATACTCCCATTCCCAAATGTTGGTAGCTTAATTAGTTCGTCGTCTATTACTTCGTTAAAGGTTCTAGCCAGTTTTGTACCCCAAACTTTAGACCACATTTTCTTTTCCATCCTAACTATTACCAGTAAGTACTTACTTGACCCTCTTTCTGGTCTGTATGCACAATCTTGCTCTGCCCGATTACAATCTCCACGTGTAATCTGGGGTGTTTCTATCTAGCCCCGTAGCCATTTTCACGGATCAACTGTGCACTCTCTCCGCGTCCTCCACTCTTTGCCAGCTCTTTATATATTTAAAAGATATGCTCTTTTATTCCATGTGTTGATTCTAGCCCGCTTCCGAATACCCCACATAACGTTAACTGCTTTTTGAAACTTTGTACCCCTTGGATCTTATATGCTCTCTGAAGGAGAGCCAAATCCGAGGAGAACCAAACCCCTAGATACTTGTAGCACTTAACTATCTCTAATTCCCTACCCGCTTCCCTTTACTTGATCTTCTTCCTCTCTCTTGAACACCAAAGAAGTTCCTCGTTTCCTTTGCATTCACTTCGAAGTCTGTTCTTCCCCGAGTATTTTTCTAACGACCTGATCATCCCCCTGAGGGACTTCGCTGTCATCAGCTACTGCAACTACATCAAATTTCGGTGTTGCTCTCCCCGTTATTTCTTGGTCAGTTCGTTTCTCTGTCTAACTCCCACTCGTACGTTTCAAAGACTTCCGCGTTGGGCCCCTATCCGTAATTACTCTGAAGGGATGAAGGAAACTTATAGAGAGGATAATAGGCGGAAAAGGGAAGGTTGTGGACTCGTCAGTGAGGCTTTCTAGGAGACTCGTATATACAGTGACTCTCGCTAATATTCGGACACTCTTTAGGACAGCATAACTTTTTTAAGATTGGACCTAACGACTGGAGTTTTCTTGAGAAGTTAGAAGGATTAGTATGCTAGATGACGTGTAGAAAAATGTGGAAAAAATTGCAATTTGTGGAATTCGCGTAGAAAATTGTAAAGGTCACATTTGTGACTGTAAAGTAACCTTTACAATTTCCTTCGCGATTCCCACAAATCGCAAATCTTTCCAAATTTTTTACACACGTCGTCTAGTATACTAACCCTTCTAACTTCTCAAAACAAAACTCAAGTCGTTAGGTTCAATTTTAAAAAAGGTATACTTCTAAAGAGTGTCCGAATATTAGTGGAAGTCACTGTACAAACGGTAGTCTTCATGAGGATTAGCGAGAATTCGCGGTTAATCCGTTCCTCTGGTGGCAGAACGTAGGAGGTGTCGTTACACCTCTGTTCAGCGGCTTCTTATACATTTCCTTAATCATCTGGAGCATTCTCCCCTCCACCTCTGCTTCCACCAGTTTATGCATTAGGATGATCCTACGCGCTAAGTCAAATGTCGCTTTGAAGTCAATGAACACTTACGTAGAGTCTTCCCTTTGTCGTCTTCAACTTGTTCTTAATTGGAACATTTTAGACAAACACGTGGCCTCTCTTACCTCTGCCTCTGGCGAAAGTCTGCTTGACTTTCTCTCAATTTTCCGTTTCGTTCCAGCCTCGTTCGAAGCAGGTTCGTCGATATTCTGTACCCCGAGCATAGCAGGGAAATTATTTGTTCTTCTCCAGTCTTACAATTCCAGTCTCCTATCAACACAACACCCTAACCATTCTCAGTACCTTCCTCTATTATCGTATTTAACTCTAACCTCAGCGTTGTTAGTCCCACATTATTACGAACTGATATCAGTTTTGATTCATTTGCCCCATTTTTCTTCCATAATTAATCCATCTTTTATCTGACACTTAATACCTCTTTTTATCCCTACAATTGTCTGCAATCTATCTGCAGACTTCTAAACGAAGTTTTAATCCTACTCGAAAAATGAAAGCAAAATGTTAAAAAAATCATACGGATGTATAGAAAAATTTCACGAATTTCAAGGTTTACATTTATCGCACAAACAGAGTCGACCTATAATAAACATTTTTTAATTTGTATTTATTAAATTTTATTCGCTATTTCCTTTGAACGCTGCATGATTAAAAGGTCCAATATGAATCTACATTCTCCCTGTGATTTGCTTTAACCCTCTACTGTCGAGACACCGTTTTTGGGACGTAAAGCCCCGATACGGAGTCTACGAAACTCCTCAACTTCCGGTTAGTTTATAGTTATAAATATAGAACATTTCTGACAACTTTTCTTACCGATTTACCTTTATCGCACATTTTCCCAATGAACGTTATAGAATAGAGTGATTGGTTGGATAAATTTCATTTGAATATAACAACGTTTAGTTCTAAATAGAATGGAAGAAAAGGAAAAAGGTAGAATCAGCGGAGTCTCTGAGACTCCGCCTCGACTGTAGAGGGTTAAATAGAAATTACTTCCTCACAGGGATCTTCTTTAAGTAGAAATTATTTCATTACAGGGCTCTTCTCGCAGTGATTATTGTCATTGGTGTTGTGTTCTCGCTGATACTATTTTGCGTATCATGTTTGTACTGCAGTTGCTGTCCATGGTATCGCAGACGTCATCGAGGAACGGTTTATGGAAGTAAGAATCTCTTTGCATGATATTCACAATAGTCGAACATTATTTCACGTCACGGAATTAAATTTTTATACAACAGCAAAGTTTAATTTTGCTCTCCTCTCTTTTCCTAATGATGGATCCGCATATTTCGTTTAATAATAATAAGAAAAAAGAATATTCTCGCATCCGTGCGATTGGCTGCTGATTCTGAGAGACACAAGATAAGCGCGGTGAATGAGTCGTTCTACAACGAACATGAGTAGTTCTTCATTTTTCGTTGTACAGTAGGACCCCCTATAACGCGGTGAACACAATACAAATTAAGTTCCACCGACGTCGCTTTTTGGGTTAAATTTAATTAACCGAAAATTACAAAATTACAAATTCACAATTTGTGTGTTCTTTTTTTTTTTTTTTATCGCGTTATGCGGGGGAATAGAAATTTTTTAATCGCGTTATACGAGGTTCTACTGTACATTCGTGGGAATATTATGAATAAATAGGCGAAGTTTATCCATAAAAGATGGTTACATTTCGTATTCCTATATTTCGTCGTTCGCAATAACGAAATGTACCAGTGTTCACAGTCTCAGCTAAATAGACGACCCGAGGGCCTTGCACTGTGCTTCAGAGAACTCAGAGAACACTGTATTTATGAGGAGATCAATTTATTCAGTTTATATCCCTTTCGTTCCGTTTTCTTTTTCGCTCTAATAATGTGGAATCCAAGTTAAGGAAATGAGATGTTTAGCAAATAGATATTTATTTAACGTAATTATTAACACAAATTAATGAAAGCACATATTAGTCGATGTTGCGCCACAATCGCGCATGCCACGTTAGTTAGTCGTATTAATTTGTAGAGACAGTCAAAACGAATATATTTTGAATTATTTTTAAACAAATATGAAAGATTTTTAATATCGATTTGTTCGAGATTGCAAGAGACGACTTGTGGAAAAAATTTAGTTCGAAAGAAGTAACCACTTAAATTACTTGTTGTACGATATTCTTGTAAAGAAATGTGATAGCTAATCTCGTCCTGTAATTGTTTTTAGGGCCACCCATGGTCTGAATCCATTTCTTCACATCTTCCAATCTCCTGACACTACTTAACACACAATGTTTCCTATTATTGTATGGCAGATTAGGGGACACGAGTTTTTTAAACATTCTTACTTCGCCTTCCATATATTCTTACTGCTTCGAACTTTGTATCTTGCGATTTGATTATACATTTTTAGCGTGTGTGTGTGTTAGGTGTAGAAACGAATTCTCTCCGACGAGGATTCACAGAACTGATTCAGAACCGCCGAGTTTTTATCGCGAATGACTGTCACAAACTGCCAGTAAAATGACAAATGCTCGTGAAAAGTAGTGGAAATTATTTCGACGATCGACCTGTTTTCGTTCCTTTTAACTGAAAAACTTCGATTGTAGCCAGAAGTCGAGAAGAACTCATTTCTACGCCCGATACGTGCGAGAAAACGAAACAAATGTTTATAACGCTTGAAAGCAATATAAGCGGAATAACGCAACAACTACAATACGACACAGGTTGTTAAACGAACAATTCGAAAAGTTAACTACAGCAACTGTTTCATGACAAATTGCAACGTTGACTTGTTTTGCATTGTTAATAAAAAAAGAAAAAGAACACTCAGCTGCAACGTACAAAATTCGGTAGATAGCTGTTTTATCACTACTTAGAAGTATATTGTGATCGGTGATATGACGTTACAGAGTGCAGCAACTATGCTCGACGTTATGAACAAGTATTAAGTTCTTAGAATTTTTACACACGTTTACTTAGATCCCTTTGCGTACCAAAAAAGAGAAACCGAAGTTTCGATGTTCCTCGGAACTTCCTAATTTTCAACGCTTCGGAAAAAGAGGCTAGAAATCAGGTACTCAGAGGGTAAAAACATTCCAATTTTTTATACGAAATATAATATATATATATATGTTTTTGCTTCCTTTTTTTTATATTATATACTAAGCATATCGATAATTTGAAGTAATTACGAAGAAATATAATCTGTTACATTTGTATTTATTTCAAGGAAATCTACAACGACGTTTAATGTATTTTGTGCCTAGCTTGAAGGTTCGAAAGTTTTATTATACAGGGTGTTTTCGAACTGATGGAGCAACCCAGAAGAAAAAGATGAATCTATATGAAAAAATAAGTCGAAAGTGCAGAATAATATTCTTTTTTTTTTTTTCTTTCGTCGAATAAATCGATGTTGAAGATTCGTCAAATACGCGCGCACTTATCTTCTGCGCACTTATCTTCCGCGCACTTATCTTCCGCGCACTTATCTTCGCGCACTTATCTTCCGCGCACATTTCATTGAATATTTCCTGTCCTCAAATGTTAGAATATAAGAATAATTTGCTCTTTGAGCTGTTTCTTACTTATACTCTCCTCGTGATATACACACAAGAGATTTGACGTGGCTCCATAAATAAACATCCATCGCTGTTAAGTTGGAGGAACGTGGCCAAAACTGTTTTACCATTGCAGCCGATTCAGCGGAGATATTAGTGCTTACTTTCATTTCACTATTTATCTTTCACTACGTAACGTGATAAACGAAAACAGCAATAAAAGTACTTATAGAGTGCAGTGATACTTGTTAGATGTAGGCATAAGCGAGCTGTGGTACGATGTGCACGCGTACACGACGAATCTTCGACATCGATCTATTCGGAAACGTAACATCGTACGAAAAAATGTTACTCAACATTTTCGATTTACGTTTTCACGTAGATTCGTTCATTACTGGGTTGTATCACCAGTTCGGAAACACGCTGTATATACGTATACAGGGTGTCCCACGTAACTGGGACAAGCTGTATCTTCAAAATGGTTAGAGATGTGAAAAAATTAAATGATGTGAAATGGTGCATAATTCTGGAATTAAATTTACGCATTTCTGTCCATCGATGCATCAGAAAAGTGCACTTACACTTGATTTTTTAGTGGGACCCCTGTATATATGTGCATTGAAACATACTACTTATTAAGGGGTCTTCCTACTGTGACGGGTTGAAAAAATCAATTTCTTTTGTTTGTATTTTCTTATAGTTTGACATCACGAAAATATGTGCAGGAAGTTTTAAAGCTTAATTATGAAAATTGGCAGAGATATATGCCTTCAAAGGAAGTGGTTTTATGTAGTCTTAAGCTGTAGTTGAAAGTTTAAACGCGTTTCTCTCGAAACAGCATTTTCGAAACTGGCTGACATGATTACCAAAAGACAGGTTTGTCAGGTATATTCGGTAGATGTTGCTTTATCGTTTGAACTAGAATTGTGCAGATATTTTCAAAATTCAGTCCTTGCGGTCAAAAAAACCATCGTTTTATTTACTAAAATCGAAAGCAATTTCTTTGAAACCTTGCCGTTTTTTTATCTCTCAATATTTTTTTATTATTCTAGTTCAGACGATAGTCACACGTCTACAGATTAAAAATATGTTTGCATTTTGTATTTTGGATAAGTACAACGTCTGATATCATGTCAGCCATCGGAAAGGATATTTTTAAAGACGCTCTATTCACGGTGGTCCTATTTTACAACAAATGGATATTTTCACTTATAAAAAATATTTTTGTGTTCTTAAAAGATGACAGAATAAACGCACAAATTTATAAAAAGATACGTGCAGCACTTGCTTTGTTTTAAATTTCCGAAAAATTAAGTTGTTTTTTCAGCCGGTCACAGTAGGAAGACCCCTTAAATACCACATTACAATTATGAGTATGAAGTTTATCCATATATTTGCAAATTACAAGGTTCTATTTTTATCAGGTTGCGCATAAACTAGCATTATATATTTTTATACATTTTTATACACGGTATTCCAACAATACTTGTGATCCACCTCTTTTGTTTATGGTTAAATAAATATAATATATAATGTGAAAGTGTAAACGTATGATATACCTATAGTATTTAAGATATCCATAAGCGCTTTTTATTGTAACTTTGTGTAATAAATATCTTTGTGATCTTTCAATGCGAGCGAACATTTTCTCCCTACTGTCATATTAACATTAAGTATGATGTCAATCACACTAACAGTATTATTAATGCATATATCCTAAAGCACAGGTTCTGTGGACAGATCATGGACTATTAAAATAATTTCGGTATTAAAGCGTTTTCTAAAACTTACATGTATTTTCCACATAAATTAATATAAAAGAAACAAAGGTAGATAAAGTAAAGCTTATGATACTTGAACTACTGTCTGATTTTTATTAACGTTTTGGAAGTCACATTCTACCTTTAAGATGCACAATTCGTAGAACAAGATTTCAACAACAGGACAATACTTTTTGTTACAGAATAATTTATATCTTTATTGTTACATAATTGATGCGATAATAACATTCAAATTTTTTTAAATGCTTCTTCGACTATTCGTTTGCTGTCTCTATGAATTAAAGTTTCCGATCTTCTTTGAATTAAGTCCCTTTTATAGGAGTTTTTGTTCCAGAGGTAGAGATACCTAGTAGGGTACACGTAATTCAATCAGCCGCGAATGTTTCTCAACCGGCGCCACAGTATGCAAGCGTTGCGTATCCCTCAAATTCAACAGGTAATTATTATACATATACAGGGTGTCCTATTGTAATCTTTCCACGTGATTATCTCCGGAATGTGTTAAATAAAACTTGCTCCGTTTCGAGGAAATTTTAAGATGACTTTCGGTTTTTTAAATAGAATTCTTTTTATTTTAAGTATGTAGCTCAGTCCGAGATGAGTTTATTGACTTATGATACGCGAGTCTTCCAAAGTTAGTCAAGGTTAGTTACGGTCCTCGAAGCAGAGTAACTTTCACTGGGTACACATTTTTTTCGAATAAAGAATAGTTCGAAAGATTCAAATAAATAATCGCATGGAAAAATGATAATAGGACACCCTGTATAAAGAACTAGAATATAATACAATGAGCATGCAAAATAAAAATGTTTACAAAATTGGCGGGAAATAGCAGCATGTATATTTTATTCGATCAATTATTTAAATAACCGTTAAATATAGTAAATTACGCAAGTCTTTGCATATTCGTTGTATTTAAAATTGAATATAAAATTTATTACT